TCTCTGCCCCCCCTTCCTGCTTCTACCTAACCATCTCTACCACATAAAGGCAAAAAGGCCAAAAAAATAACACTTTAAAAATAGTGGATATGTTGCATTGGAATGAAACTCAATTATGCTTAATGAGGAAACCAGATTTCAGTGTTTCATGGGAGGTAAAGGGGCTTGGTTAAGGAAAGAGTTCAGGCTTGTGGGAGGTTCGGACAGTCAGGTATTGATCTGTTTGAGCCAGCAACTTGCAGAGAACATCCCACACACTCTGGAGGGAGCAAAGCTTTTTCTCCCTTGCTCAGAGTAATTGAGATGTTTGTAGCCAACAGAGACGCTTTGTGAACTGTACCACCCCGGGGTGGCAGTGACGGTTGAATAGACAACGCGTTTGTCTGGGGAGATTGATCATGCCACTGCATGTGAACCTCGACTGTGTTAATCTGTGTTTGGATGGTGCACACACCCCTGCTAAAGAGCAAATAAACAAACATAGTTTTTAGTACCACACCTTTCTCAGAACCCACAGATAATGGTAAAGTCTGGAGTTTGGTACTGTACAGGTGTCCACATACTTGTGTGGGATTAATTTGACCAGTGCAGGTCTGATAGTGTAGTGTTAATATCTGTGATTTCAGCTCATGTTTGATCCATCAGCATCCCACCAAGTGGGTTATGGGTTCTGCTATTAGTATTATCATTATTATTGTACATACACAGTTGTTGGCGCAGTTCACTAGGTCCCAACCTGCACTCAAGGGGTCACAAGATAAATTTAAAGGCTACCGGGATAATTACAAGGGTAGCAAATTTTCTATAATTAAATACTCTGATAAAACTTTCACCACCACCTTCACCTTTAAAAATTATCCAATTGAAACACACCGCTAAGAGAAAATCACACTTCGATTGAACTGCCTCCAAGTCATAAACATTGCTCTGTAATGAAGACTTGGAAGGAGACAATGCTTCGTATTAAGGGGTTATATGTAAAAAAGAGTTGGGATCCACTGGGCTCATTTGCTACAAAACCCAATATTTAGGGTTTGAAAGATGCCTGGTGCAAGGAAAGATCTCTGTGTAAGAGCTGCACCACACAGACTGGCTTTGAGAGGGATCTACCTTGCCAAGATGGAGACACAGAGGCAGTTCTTATAGTCCATATGCTCCTCCACTAGAAAATGATTGTATCTGACTTGCAGAGGCACAGACAACCGACAAAAAGCTAGAAGATAAGTTGGTGACTGTTACGGTAGGACATAAAGGTCGGATGGTCATCACTGACATCTAGAAAGCATCAGCATAATTGTTTTTTCAATTATAAGGTCATGATGATATCTAAGGTGCTTAGATATTGAATTTCCATATCTGAATAGGTTGGCTTTAAAATTCCCTCAGAAAAAATTTCCAGAAAAATGACAACATGACGAGGTACTACTGTAATATGAAATGACACACTCTGTGATTTTAGTCATAAAATCCACTATCTTGCAAAGTGTTTAGAAACATTAGAGTAATTGTGCTTCAATGTTATCAATAAACATCACAATCAGTAGAAAAAGTACAAATTCACAATCAAACAGATGTCAGTTTAGCACTGAGTGTCTGTGTGTGTCTCACCTCATCACAGTGGAGCGGCAGACATCTTAACTGGCACAGTTTTTTCCCGTTGACACAACGACATGACAGGCAGCCCTCCTCCCACTCTGATCCTGCCTACACACAAAAACACACGCCATAAGATTTATATTCACTCACTAGAGTTTTGAAATGCAGGTAATATGACAGCCTATCTTTCCTTCATGCACACTTGCATTACTGTCTCAGTCAGTGCAAGTTTGATGCAAGTGCAAGTGGTCATAGCTCAAGTTCTATTTCTTCAGTGAATCCACTAAAACTCTGGCTGCACTCATTATTTAGATTATGGAGGCCTGTTATGATGCTGTAATTATAACAACACATAATACAGACTACAATATATATTACGTGTGTGTGGTAGTTATGGGAATCATTAACAGTGCTACTCGTACAAGAGCACCCACAAGGGAGTGCCTTTGTGGCTCACATTGAGCCATTTGCTGTAATAGTAATAATACTGAGGTAGTTGATTAGAAATCCATAGAGGGTCTTTTTATAGACATTAGTTATAAACAGCTGAAAGACACACAGAGAGAAACAAAGTAGACAGGAGAAAGGAAGAGACTGAAAGGGGCAGATGAAGGGAGAGAAAGACGATGACTGAGGAAGAGGGGATAAAGAGAAAAGGAATGGAGAAAGTGAATGCCTGAACTCAGATCCTGTAAAGAAAGCACAAGAGGGGCTAATGACAGATAAAGCAGAGGTATGAGAGGATAAAGAAAGAAACAAAAAGAGAATGAAAGAGAAAGGCCTGAAAAAGAAAGATCAAGAGGGGGTCTAACCACTTGTCAGTGTATGATTAATTCTTATAATCCTATAATATCCCCTCCATCATAAATAATTCCTGGCAAGCTTGCCAAGTTGCGGTCCAAGTGCTGGCTTTCTACGACACTTCCTACATAATTGATGAGGCTGTGGGCTGAAGAGGCATTGTGGTGTAATGTGGCCCGCGGGGCATGTCACTCATCTTCTAATAGGCCCTTCTTTATGAGTAAATAACACAATGGGAGTGAATGGGAGGAAACGTAAACACCAGGCTAAAGGTAAGGTTCAGTCAAACGCCACAATGAGGCAGGCACAATGGGTACAAGATGCCAGGTTAGCTGGGCATCAGATGTCTGTTTACTTTGAGTGAAAGCCAGTGTGTGTGTGTGTG